GGTTGCCACCATTGAGAAACACCGGAGTAGAGGGTTAGGATATGAATAATATTCATGAAAAAGCCAAAATGAAAAGATCTTTGGTCTGTTCTGAGCTGGGATTCGCTTTGCCCGAATGCACAAGAGGATTCGCGGTGGCTGGGAGATGGGGGACATGCTGAATTTTGGAGAATTTTAAGAAGATCCCCTTTCCTCCTCCCCCAACTGGTTTGCAACTATCTCACTGAATGTCTTGCATCGGCTTTTTAATTCTGGCAAACAGGTAACTGAAAATCAAGGCCTTGCCCTCGCGGATGTACCACTGCAGCCTTGCCTGGACGCGTGAGCCCTGCGTGTGTCCCTTGCACGCCGGGTACCGACGCCTGCCCTCTCTGCTGTGGGAGAACAAAGGGCAACTCGTATCACCAGCTACACAAAGCCACGTTTATGAGCCTTTACGCCCTGTAATTTCAAGCAAGGACATGATTTTTGACAGCAGCCTGACCTGCCAAGGAGAAATTGCCATGACGTGCTGGCTAATTCGATAGCAAGGCCTGGCCATTTTCCTTCCCTAAGATGGCACACAGCAAGGTTTCTACACCGGTTCCCTCCGTGCAAGAAAGTTGATACGCAGCAGAACACCTGCCCAACGTTTTGAACTTTTTTGGATTCTCCCCACCCACCTCCTGGCTCCCCCCTCGATGAAGGATTTGCAATCCAAACGTTTGCACGCTTTCCCGTCGTCGGTCTGGCAGAGCTGGGCATCCACTCCGGATAATACGAAGCGTGAAATAACAAATCGATCCCACTTATGTTAATGAGAGCCAAGCAACGAGCTGCATAAAGTCGAGCGTTCGACGCTGGAGGATTATTTCCAGGTTTTTAGAAGAAGAGAGCTGCTCCCGTTAAAGGGAGCACATTTGCAAGGACAGGCATTGCATGTCCCCCTTGGAATGTTGTCTTTGTATCATTTTCCAATAAAACAAATATATCAACAAGGAAAGGGGAACTTGGGCATCAGGGGGTCTCTAGAGCCTTGCCCTGGCCGAAAATTACGGAATGGGACTGTTGGAGCCCCTAAGTCTCCACCTGTTTAAAACACCAAGGCTAAGAACGGAATTATTTCAAATGAGAGGCAGGAAAAGAGAGCCTCTGAGCATGTGCAAAACGCATGCCTTTTGGGGAGAGGAGACGCAGGTGTAAAGACAATGCAACGATATTTAATTCCTGCTGTTCTGTTTTGAAGGGCTTAGAAACCCGATCATGCTTGGGTGCTAAACGACTAGCTTTAAATTCTCATCTTTCACATAATACAACCTGGAATTTAGCGGGGGGGGGGGGCAAATATACTGTACAAGGAAGTTTCCAAGACTTTCCACTCTAACCATGCAACCCTGGGTGTTTATTCCAAAGGAGGTCGCACGGATGCCCCATATCCCTTGGGTATATGGAATGGTATCTCACACCCCTTTTGTGTTCCAAGGATCTAACTCTGAATTTGTTTAGCCGAGATTCCACCTGTTCAGGTTCCAACAAACATAAATCAGGGTTTATTCAGGTTGGACCACTCGCAAAGGCGACGAACTCGTTTAACCCTGATTTTAATTGCCCCAATTCTGTTGAAACCGTTTGGAGCTGACCTTGCGTTTTAAGTTTCATACAGTCTTCTGACTGGTCAGTGCAAATCTTCATTCAAGAGGACGGATTCGGGCACCCTGCAGAGGCCCAGCATGGGGGCCACCCCACATGCAGTTTATCAGCCCTTGAAACAGACCTGGAATCTGCTGGAGAAGCCCAGCATATAAATCAGTTCTGAAGCAAAGGAAAGAATAAATGGAAAATCCTGCTGGGTTAGCTTAACATGCCCAGGGTTATGTACCCAATGTTCGATCAACCATTCAGAGGTAGCCTGTGGTTATGGGTCTCTGGGTAGTTACAATAGTGAACAACAGGCTCCTTGACAGTATCCCGAGATGTCACTTCTGAATATGGAGGTTTGGTTTTGTCCAGATAGACTGCCTTTGCAGCTGAAGGTTCTGGTGGATCCAGATCGAGCTTGCAGGTCCCACCTGATCAGCTCTGGAGAAGGTGGTACCTAGATAAACCGTAGGAATAAAAATAAATGGCTTACACTGTACAATCTCCACCTTGGGTAAGTTCACCAGGTCCCAGGGCAAATTTTTGGCTTTCTGAATGTTAAAGGGAGGCGGACTACAAAGCTGGGCGGGCAATGAGGTCGATGACAGCCCCCAACCCCCAGGAAACAAGGATGGGTTCCATCTTCCAAGCATGCAAGAAGAAACTGAGGGCGCAAACAGGTTTTCCTCCTTGCTCGGAGAAGGCGCCTGAGCCTTAATTACGCAAAAGGCTTCACTCTTCAATGGGACTTCTTAAAGGCTTTTATTTTCTGCGCGACCGGGCTGGATGGCTGCCCCAGCCTTTTTCTGCAGGTGGAAAACGAAGGGCAGGTCTGGAGCCCCGGGGTTGCCAACTGACCAGGTGCTCAAACCGCCCTCCTCCCTCCTCCTCGCGCGTCTTCCCTGGCGCGGCGCAGGACGCCCGGGAGCTAAGCGCGTCCCGAGCTTGGGCCGCCCTTCCCTTCCTTCTCGGGGTGGAAGCGGCTCCTTCGAGGCAGAGGAGCAGGAGGTGGCGGAAATGTTGGCCACTCCCCCCTCCCACTCCCCCCAGTCCCTCGCGGCCAGCCGGATGAATGAACCGAGCGCGCCACGAAGGGTTAACCCCCTTCGCCCCCCGCTCCATCCTTTCCTCGAAGTTTGGCTAAAAGTTGGCTTTTTTTGGGCTCCAGCGCGGCTCCTG